CTGTAAAACAGCAATTATGCTGAGTCAGGCTTGATTTTTAATAATCTTTTCCTGTTAAATAAATMAATCAAATCAAATCAAAATCAAACTGTATCAGCACTTTATCAAATATAGAGTAGACGTGTGCAGAAAACTACCGTCACAGCTTCTCACAGCAGTGTCAGTCCAGCAGATGGCCATTAACAACAGAGGTGTTCAGTCTCCTGATTGCTACTCCCCCTACCAGATGGCCTCATCTAATCTCAGATCTGCTAGCGTGTGTGAAAGGGTGTGTCAGTCCTCTCCCTGCAGAGCTACAGACAAATGCAGACACGATCAGTCGGCCTCACTTCATGCGTTGACATTGACAACCTGACAGATTGGAGCAAAACTGTCATCGTCGTGAATCACAAACCCTACTGTTGCTCAAATCACCAGGTGTGTGTAACGGTGTGTAACGGTGTGTGTTGAGCGTATCACTCACCTGGGTAGGGTACCCTGCCTTTAGTAACGAGCTCGGTGAGAAGGATCCCAAAGGACCAGACATCTGATTTGATGGTGAAGCGACCGTACAGCGCCGCCTCCGGCGCCGTCCATTTGATGGGAAATTTAGCTCCTGAGTGAAGAGATGTTCCCGTTAAAGGGGGAGTTATTTATTTTTTTGACATTGTGACAAAACTACAGCTTTGCAAACAAAAATTGTTAGAAAATCAAGGCCTAGCATGCCTTCGCAATGCCTACCGCATTTTAAATCATTTATAAATTAAGATGTCATCCTGAAAAATTATGAAGTTTTAGCCCTTTTCCTCAAATCTTTTAAATGTTTTGCATGATTGTGCTTGATATTGTAAAATCTTGCACAGTCTTTTAACGCTATAAGTATGTGTTATAAATTAATTTTCTTTAAAAATCAACAACATAAGTTCAACAAACAACAAACATACAAATCAGAAATTAAATGAAAGGTAGCAGAAGAAGGAAAAAAATCTTATCTGCCCCTTTTTCTCAAATAAATAAATTCAATCAGAAATAATCTTCAGATTACAAAAATAAAAAAGAAAATAATAAAGGTTTAACTCCTTCAGCAACAATTCATACATTTCCCCAACAAATTTACCTACATCATTCTCTTAAATAAAGACATTTATCTGGCATTTTTAACATTATCATCCAGATTATTCCATAATCTTATACCCTGGACTGAAGTACTGTAGTAAATGACCTGAGCTACAACAAATTCTAGCTCAACATCTGCAAAACTGACTTACAGCAGTTTTTTTCCCCTTTTTTTTCTATTCAAGCATAAAACTGCTATTGAAGAGTCCCTATAGCAACAGATTCACTGTCATTTTGCAGACATAAAAAAAAATCAAACAGAAAATAGCTCAAAGAATTTTACTTCAGATATAATTTTGCACTCATCTCTGCTGTGCAGTTAAACAAATAACTGTTCATCTGACAGATGATTTCTTCCACTGTGTGAAAACGACATCTAATCAGAATCATCAAAAGCATCTGCCTCACTCTCAACCTAATTCACCATAAAGGGAAACAACAGGGAGTTCTGCTCGCTGCGAGGTCGCTGCTCTTCATCTCCACTCTGACGCTCCAAACATCAGCGATTCTTTCTGTTTCTCTGGGTTTCTGTGCGCGCACCTTGTCTCGCCGTGTACTCGTTGTCTTCTATTAACCTGGCTAACCCAAAGTCGGCGATCTTGCACGCCAGGTTCTCGCCCACGAGGATATTTGCCGCGCGCARATCTCTGTGAATGTAGTTCATCCTCTCGATGAAAGCCATCCCGTCGGCGAYCTAAAAATAAAAACAGTCGTCGTCTTTTGTGAATCATTTTTAGCTTCTTACACTTTGAGGATTTGTCAGACGTTAGATAAAGTGAAGGCATAAAAGAGAATCYGTTGGTTGGGGGTGGTGGGGAGGGGGCATGTTCACCTGACATTATGTTTATTTTTATAAAACTCAGTGGCTGAATTTAGAGCTCAGAACTCAACAACACAGACAAATAATCTGTAATCAAAAGCCAGGTGTTCGTCTGTCTCACCTTTGCAGCCATGTCCACCAAGGTGATGAGCTTTAGGAATTTACCATCGCCTTCTTTGACAAAATCAAGCAAGCTTCCTGTAAAAAAAAAGGCAGGACAACGGCGATGAACAAAATGTACTCCTGCAGAGTCAGACAAACAAACAGAAGCGTAGAGCTGCCACATGAATTAAATTATTTTTAAACTGGATCTCGTTATAACGAGAAAACTATCTWGTAAAAACAAGAAAACTAWCTTGACATATCAAGATAACCACCTCGTTATAGCGTGTTATGGTTTCTTCTGGTTTGTCATTTTCAGGAAGTTTATTGCCTGGGATGGTGTGATGGAGAACACGACTGAACCACTATATAAACAAAAACGAACAGAACACATATTTGGGTTTGTGCTCAGACGTCGCAGCTGTTAGCACTTCTTTAGTGATATGCACTCTCTAATCTGATTTCAAATGCTATTATGTCAAAAACATTATTCAGTACTAAATTACTTTGTCATTTTTTAGTCTAAATATGTGTTCCTCTTGCATATTTCTTCTTCGTAAAAAAGGTATATAGTGGCTCAGTCATGTTCTCCATCACAACATCCAAGCAATAAACTTCCTGAAAGTGACAAACMAGAAGAAACCATAACACGTTATAACGAGATGGTTATCTTGATGTAACAAGATAGTTTTCTCATTATAACGAGATATTTTTGTCATTATAACAACATATTTTCTCGTTTTTACGAAATAGTTTTCTCATTATAACGAGATCCAGTTTAAAAATAATTTCATGTCATGTGACAGCTCTACGCTTCCGTAGGAAACAAGACAGACAGGAAGAATAAGGATTTTACGGAGTGTTTATGTGCCGAAAAAAGTTTGAGATTTCTTGGAAMACAGAAGAATTTTAGAGGATAAAGAAATGCTGAAGTGTAACTTTATTACCACGTAWTAATACATTGAACAGGATTATAATTTGATGGCTGATCCAGTTTTCAGTTTTAGTGCCTTTGAAACTGTGGAAAATATTAAACAGTTGCTCACATAAAACAGCAACAAATTGCAAGATTTAAGACAGAAGTATACATCACCAGGTTGCTATTTAGCTACACATAAATTCAATTACTTATAATGCCTCGAGAAAAAAAARGGCAATGCAGCTGAAGCCACAAAAACCTCCCACCAAACTGCTGCAGCTTTCAGTTCCACGCTTCAAGGAACCACAAGGGACTTCCTCTCAATCTGTGCAGCATACTAAATAAAAGGCCCATAAAATTTACATTTTTCCTCCAAGGAAATTTCCAAGCATAAATCTGACTCTGCTGCTGACATACAGAAGCCAGGAGATCTGCGCCTGAGAAGTCTGCAGCTCAGACCCCACGTTCTGTTTTCCTTCAAAAATAGACCTCATTAGAATCATGTAACACAAACCAGCTGAGGTCTTTTATTCTCCGAGGGATAAAAGCTTATAAATATGCTAGTTTGTAGCTTTTCAGAAGACTATCGGGCATGTTTTTCAGTACCTTTGGACATGTACTCTGTGACGATGTAGATGGGTTCCTCAGAAACAACTGCGTAAAGAGGCACTAGTTTGTCATGCCTGAGTTTCTTCATGATCTGAGCCTCCTGGAGGAAGGCCTCGGGCGACATGGTGCCTGGCTTCAGCGTCTTTATGGCCACTTTAGTGGTGCCATTCCACGTGCCTGTGGGGACAGAGACAGGAAGCAGRAAGTCCAGAAGCCACTGAGGGAAATCAGTGTGAGTAATCAACTGGGAGCGAGACGATCTTTAATTAGGTCTGGTGATTGCTGGGACATGTGCTGTCATGCATGCACTCACTGTGGAGCAATAACCCTGCAGATTTAAAATCTCAGCAGATAACTCTTTCGTTTGGTCAGAAACACACAACAAATATGATCACCTCTATAAAGCAGCTGCTTAAATATAAGTAATAATATTTAAAAAAGGATTTAAGATTTTACAAAGAACTGCATCCAAAAAAAGTTCAGATCTTCTGAAATGGGGTTCTCTGGAAAAGGTTACGAACAGTTAATATCTWAMCTGATTTCAGTGTGGAGAAATAGAAATTAGTCTGAGGGAGACCAGGCCCAAACCCCATTTCAAAAGATCTTTCAATCCAAGAGATTGAAAGATCTTTCAATCTTTTGAAAGATCTTTCAAAAGATTTTGCTTTACAGTTTTCGAACACGATCTTACCCATCCAGACCTCTCCAAAGCAGCCCTGGCCCAGTTTGACCTCCAGCTGCAGCGACTCCCTTGGAATCTCCCAGGCATCTTTAGCCAGTCCCTGAGTCTGAGGCTTGACTGTGGGGCAAACTGTGGTCAGCTTGTGGCAGAGACCGTCCGAATGCTCTGTGATGAAGATAAAGGTATCAAAAATACATCAATCCATATTTTTATCGATGAAATCAGAGGTCTGCAACCATGTTCCTCGTGACCCACTGTCCTGCAGTTTTTTGATGTTTCCCTGCTTTAACACACCTGATTCAAATAATGAAATTAAATTAACAGGGAAAATTGTATAATGCACAATTTATTTTCGTAAAACTGTCAACAATTAATATTTGCCACTTTGCAATTACTGCAGTATAATATGATCATCGTTTTTTGAGTTTAAAAAGCATTAAAARTATCATTATGTGGGAAGATACACTTGTGTGAGTGTGTTTTGCTGCAGGGGAAGTTTCCGGTTCTCTGTGTCACTGAAAAAACAATCCGCTCCCAGACCAGAGCAGGAGCCGGTTGGTAAATTATTAAGATGGATTTATTAGCAAAAACAACTAAAGTCCAAGTCTTTTTTGCATTGCCACGGTTAACAAGAAGAGAAAACTCCCTCTGACTCCGGTGAATAAACAGTAAACGGTTTATATGCTTTGCTATGCACGACTTACAACGGGAGGAAAGGGGGGATATTTCACTTATACAAGGAAATATTGAAACTTATTGTGATTGTACATTTAAAAAAGTCAGTYAAAATTCACTCTCATGTATACTATTACTACTATGAATAATTTTGGGGTTAAATTTCTCATATTATACGCAAATAAATATGGTAGTGCCATGTGATGGTGTATTTCTTTGTGTGGCACACGTGAAACTAATGATGGAAGGGAGCGTGGAGCAGCTAATGCTAATCTTAACCCTTAACCCTAACTCTACAAACTTGTTTAATCACATGAAACACTGCCATAAACCAGAGTACAAGAAAAGACAGAAAATTGACCAATACCACAATGTTGGGTTATGCAAATGTCATCTATTAATCGTCATATTAATTGGAWCGGCTAAATGCCCCGAAAAGTTTTACACACATTTTTATGGCGAAACTGCTCAACCCTATGACCTGCTCAGAATGTCATTGARTTTAGTAGAAGCCTGTCAATCTCTCGTTTATTTCAGTCAGGTGTGTTTCAGCAGGGAAACAGCTAAAACATGCAGAAGAGTGGGACACGAGGAATCCAGTAGAAGACAGCTGATTCAAATACATCAAGGCAAAATGAAAACATTGATCTATATCGTCATCATATTTCCATTGTGGATTGATATCATATACCCATCTAACATATTAATTGTGTTAGATGGGTATACGATATCGCATCATATCGATCCCAAACATGAATCGAGCTGAATTGAAATCGTTTCACGACAGACTTTGTGATATCTTGAAACACCGTATCGTCATCCAAACAAATCAATATAACACCGCAGGATAATGCTGGTGATTTACACCCCTCAGACAGACCCAGACAGTCTGAAGCAGTAGCAGACAGATTTAAATCCAGTCTCTTTAGAGCACCAGCTCATTCTGTTTGATGAGAATGGACTAAGATGCTCTTATACCAACCACGATAAAAAATAAATGGGTTGAAGTAGGCTCTTTTTTTAAAATCACAGGAAAGATCTCTTGAGTCACTATCACATCAAGTGGAATCACAAAGACTCGACCTCAGCCCCTCCTCTGTCTGAAGATGAGCTGGGTGGATGAAAATCCTAACTGCACCATTAGCTGCTATTAAAATTAAAGAGCATTCATCTCCCTTAGCAACACAGCGAGCACGAGCCAGGATAATTCTCTGAGGTCTGACAAAGGACTGTGATGAATAACGAGGCAAGTGATGCAAACGGCGCACCTGTGTAGTGTTTGACGAGCTTCTGTAATGTGTCAAACTGGGCCCGTGTGGTGATGTAGTATCCCCCATTGTCAAGCTTGCGGATCTTGTAGTGTTTCACATTGTCTCCTTTGGCATCGTCCCAGTCTCGAATAGAGAGCGAATAAGCACCTGAAAGGAGGGCAAGAGGAAAAGTTCACCACTGGTGTGAATCCTGTGAAGCATGGATTCTGACACACTGGATTCCAGGAGACTGCAACACAACATTGTGTTGTTTCTTTTTAAGATTACACTAGCCGTGTTTCCATCCAATTTTCACACGAATTTTGAGCAAACTTTCAAAATGTCGCAAAAAATGCATTTCAGACGTGTTTCCATCAACTGGCTTGGAGCGAATCAACCAGTGTAATTACATCAATCGATATTACACGTGGCTGTAGTAAACAGGAAGTAAAGTCGCAAACTCGCAGGGACTACAAATATCTGGACAAGGGCGAGAAGTTATCAGGAATGTGTTGTTACTGTCAGGAAAGTTGTAATTATTCTGTCATATCAACTATTGGCAATGTTACATGCTGTCTGGAGATGCAGAAAAAGAAATGCAATTCTCTTCATATTACGGGAATATCAGGGAAGATACCAACAGCAGGTGGAGGGTCCAATTGAAGCTGCCGCCTCAGCGAACGTAAAAGGGTTTTGCAAAATTGAGGAAGTTGTTGTTAGCCGTTTCCATCGACCTTTTCTAATATGATACTTCAAAATGTGCATAAAAAAAACAATGATCGAAACACGGCTAGTCAGAATCTCAAAATTGGATATGATGAAGGAGCATTAGGACATCGCGACCAGATTTTCTTTTAAATTACAAGAATAAAGCCAGAGTATTATGAAAAAACCCCTCTTCCACAAAAAAAAACCTTTCCTCCAAATCTGTGTGGTTCTTACTTTGAAATTTGCACAATTGTTTCAAAATCCTGCTGCTGATAATAATTTGATGCTGATGTGTTAAAAGATGAAGTATTTCTCTTTGTTTGTATACCAAAGTATAACTTCACAAGATGCTCAACGTTCCTCATTTTATCACAGTGGTAAGACTTATTTTTTGCGTAGAGGTTCTCATATAATGACTTTTTTCTCGTAATATTATGACTTTAATCTTGTAAATAAAAAAATTAAAATCTCGTCGTATCGGATAACTTACTCAACAATGTCTGCAGCTTTGTTGTTATTTTTTGCATGCAAACGTTTGAAATAAACTGAACCCTCTTTCGCATAAGACTTTCATGTCTTCTGCAAACGACACCATTAACTTCTACACGCCTGAGAGTCACAAGGACAGAATCACCTTTAGTTGTTTCGCTTTCTCGCACCAGGAAGGTTCCTCGATTGTTGCCCGGAATGAGCAGCAACCTCTCAGCATCTTTGCGTCCCATTTTCCCAAAGTACCACCTGAGAAGAGGAAGCAAATTCTTTTTACGGACGGAAAAAAAACAAACAGCCGAAATGAGCAAAAATAACACATTTGCTTGCTTAAGATGATCAAAGACACATAATGAAGCTTCTTCCAGGTTGCGAAGCTGTCGATAACAGATCACACCGAGACATCTGAAACATGCTACTGCCTCTGATGCAGGCTCTACAGATGGAATAATGAGATTATAAAAAGCAGCAATGAGGTCTCACTCTTCAGCCTGAATGGAGTCAGCAGGGGCCACATAATTGCTGGGGATGTAGCCTTTCTTCCCCGTGTTGATGGAGCGAGCCTCCCACCAGTCTCCTTCTCTGCAGGAGGAACAACGACATGGGAGAGAGACGGTGAACGGTTCAGCTCAGGACTGACACACACATATATGACTGAAAGCAGCAACCAAGCCCTGCTAATGGTGGTTAAAATATTTAGACACCATCCAAATTTTAAAAAATAGCTTGAAATGAGACAACTGTAAATCTTATTTGTCCTACATGACTAAACATCTGAATAGGATTAATTTACTTTGCGTTACATTTCTGTAACATGAGATAAAACTCCTGCAACAGAAGTAGAAAAGCAGCAATCTAACTCATTCATCAAAGAAAAAATAAATAGATACAGGTGCAGCTGAACAACACATTGAAAGGATGACATACGCAGCCCTCTATTTAAGGATAGAGAGTTAAAAAAAAACTCACGTATTGTTGATGATCTGAAAGCGATCTCCCTTTTTAAACGTAAGATCATCCGACGTTCTTGCTTCGTAATCATACAAGGCAACAAAGAAAGTAACGCCGCCTGAAAAGAGAAAATCAAGACCTAAATATATAAATGAGGGGCTGGGTGCAGTTTTATCAAAGTAAGCCAGTAGAGACAGATGAATCTGTCGTTTCAAGGACTTAAAGGTCTGCTGTTTTCCTTTAATTGTGTGCAAAATGTGCTTATAAACACAACTGTGTAGACAGACATGTTTTTTCCACAAGTTAAAGTATTCATGTCATAACTGAAATCAGACTGAAAGCAATGCGTTATATTCAAAGTAATCATTTAAAGTCGCAGGTGGTTATTTTATGCAAGAAATCAGCTCGTCTGTGTCTACTGTGTGGCAGCAGTCCCGCACAGAGGCCTGTCATGAACCCACTAACGACAATACTGTCAACAATAATCCTATTATCACCTGCTGAAAGCAAACATCACCACAGTAGCACCTTTGCTCCCTGTCTAAGAGTAGATAATCCAACATGGAGGAGGATTATAACCTAAGTCCCATCTAAATAGGAGGGTTCAGTCTCAGCTCTTTGTTCTGAGGATCACAGCTGAGAGCAGCACTTGTGTTAGCGGTAACAACTTGAAACAAAAGAATAAACACTGAAAGCCTGACGCAGGATTAATGGCTCCTCCTACACACCAAATTAATGTTATCATTCTACCACATATCAAGTCTTTAAACCTTTAATTATACCGCAGTGAAGTGAAAAACTTCACTATTCTTAAATATGTCTGCAGCAAAGCACTCATCATTTCCAAGAAGAAAACCTCAAGTAGTACTAACTCGAGACGGCACCAGAGAATGAGTTGGACATGGGACCAGAGAACGAGGTTGACGTTCCTCCAAAAGGCGTCATGGCCGAGGAGGAGCCTCCAAAGGGAGCGAGGGCGTGGTTGAAGGTCCCAGCTCCGGAGCCAGCTGAAGACGAGGCGGCCTGGTTCAGCTGCGGCTGGGTCGGGTCTGGCCCGTAGTGACCGGCGTGAGGCGTGGCAGCGGCGGCGTTGGCGTCTGACCCTGGGGAGTTCTCTGTCTGATACTTCAGGGTGGGGCCTTTGTCTTCTTTGCTTTTAACGCAGCCCATTGTCTCACCCTGCCTGGACAGACACAAGCAGAGGAGATTAATTTCTGTTCAAAAGAGCAGAGAAAAATAGGGCAACACAGAGTGAACGGCTTAGGGTGTGATTAACGATTGCAACATGAGGTTTACAAGCACTGGAACATTACAAAACCAGACTGTAATGACCTGATATTATTTTATAAATCATTTTGCTGTTGATTCAACCACTAAAACACTAAGCTGTGTCATAACTGGGACGTATGGCATTAAGAAAATCTGCTTTAAATCATTGTTTTAAACATGGCCATGCATGTTCAAATCGTGCACTCGTGTTAAGAATTATAAAACAAAAGGATAACACGTAGGTTATGGTCATTTCAATTATAATCTGTGGCACAACATTTTATGTTTATTAACAGCCTATACCTTTCTTGTACACAGAGCTACTCTGATTTAAACGATTAACACACTTTTCCTAATATCTTTATTTTTTTAAAATATAAGTTAATTAACAACACAGTAAGGACAAACATTTTCAACGATTGTGCAACATTAAAAAAAAAAATCTAAACAAAGACAAACCAAAACGTCACTGCTCTTAAAACTGCAGCTGGAATTATGAGAAGTTTGGGAAGCAGTGTTTCCCCTACCATTATACAGGCGGAGTCCTTAACTAGGATGAAGTTAGGCAATTAAATATTCATGTATGTGTAAATTTATTACCATAATTGCAGGTAAGTCATGTAAATTTATGTTTTTATGAAACAAGTACCCCCCACCCCGCCAAGACCAATTTCCTAGGGGAAACAATGGCAATTTGCCAATGTATGTGGTATTGCACACAAAAATAGATAAATAACCAATAAATAACAACAACAACAACAACATCAACATAATAATAATAATAATAATAATAATAATAATAATAATAATAATAATAATAATAATAATAATAAATCAGCAGGATGAAGGGGCAAACAAATAGAGATATGCAAACAAAACAAGAAGAATTCAAAAATGTGTAGGAATACATAAATGTAAAAACAAAAATAAATAATAATGATGATAATAATGTATATTTGGTGTATTTAAATCTACAACATCTAGTAATATATTCATTTTTGCCTTATTACAAATAAATAAGACATATTTGTGTCCCTCGTATTAGGAATAGGTGAATAGTAAATGTTCTCTCATTCAATAATGAGATTTGTGATCTGCATTTGATCCATCACCTGAAAAACACCCAAGAGGAGCAGCAGGCAGCTACGCAACTGTGGGTGTCTTGTTCAAGGACACCATGACAGGTGGGTGTGGCAGGGAGTTGAACCTGGGACTTTCTGGTCCCAAGTTGGCTGCCCTGCTCCACAGTGTCCCCATAAAAGATTGGTTTTAGCAGAGTAGGTCATATTGGTAAAAAAAAAATATCAGGGTGTAAACACTGTGGTACATTGTGCAAAACTAAATTCAGACTTTGTAATTAAATTTTTTTAATTAAAATTCATTTAAGAGGTCTAAATATTTATTTTCAACATGGAAAGTGATGTCAGCACCAATCACTCGTCTTGTACCTGACATTATGACAGCCTTGCAGCACTGAAGGATCATAAAGGAAGACTACAGCTTTAAGTGTCTAACCATGTTGATAATCTATAGGAAAATCTGCAAATATGCATCAAATTACAACATAAAGTGAACTACAGCCAAAAGAAAATAATTTATTTAGCTTGAAGATTGCTCTGATGATCATTTCTCTTCTAAAGAAAGGTACATTGCAGGATCCGGAGTCAAGAAAGTGAGACAAAGGTAAAGAAACCTGAACATGAGGGTTTTGTTCACCAGCAGGAACTGCAGGAGTTGTAAACAATGAAGAGGTTTGGAACAGGAGTCAAAACAAAAGGTGCTTTGGAACAGGTGGTAACAGCAGTGACAAGGACACACTGAACTACAGTCCAGAAAAGATAAAAAAAAACTGTTCAAGTGGATTTTTACTGTGATTCTGCAGCAGCAACCTTGATGTTGAGAGGCGGGAGGGTTTATTTTTCTGTTCCTGAGGGAGGTACAAAATCAAGAGTTCGTCGAGTTCTCCAGACGAGCCGCTAATAAAATCAACAAAATGTAGACACACCACTGAAACCTTCGAAAGATTTAGAGCGCAAATAAAATAAATTTAAAAAGAAAAGAAAAGAACTGTGCGTGTGGTTTGTTTGCAGGCTGCAACTGGCTGTCTTTTTCAAAAAACGGTTTCAAGAGTAATCAGTCACTGGAGACATTTCAAAATAGCAGATGTCTCATAACAGATTTTGTACAAAGCCCTTGAAGTGAGTCTGACAATAAATCTGATCTCAGACTTCAGATCTGCAGCCAACATGCTGAGAACGCTGGCATGAGGAAGGACTTTCTGTTTCTGAGGCAACTTTTCCTTCTGCTTCAGGATGAAATCACTGTCATGGAAAGCAGAGAGCTTCAGTCAGTGGTTTACTGTGGTGGAGGGCTTTTATGTTTAATAATTATTAAACATGTCGAGCAACTGAAAGTCTGGTTGTTTTTGGTCAGGGGTGATCTTACCAAGCTGTAAAACACAACCCTGTGTCAGAAAATATCTATACCACTGTTTCCCAAAGTTGGGGTCGGGACCCAAAGTGGGGTCCCGAAACATCAAGGTGGGGTCCTGAAAAGATTTTCTGAATTAATTATATTTTTTGCCTTAGTTGTTACAAATGAGTGAGGTTAGTATATTTAAAATGGATAAATGTAGTACAAGAAATATTGTGACTTGTTTTGTTGACCTGATGCAAATGTTTACCATCCAAAAATAGTTGGGGGCACAGGTCTCTGCTACTGTTTTGTACTATTTTGTGGGTCAAAAGCTGAAAAGTTTGGGAACCACTGCACTTTGGTTCCCAAAGTTGGGCTTGGGACCCAATTATGGGTCATGAAGCACCTTGGATAATCTCCAGAAATCAATTTAAAGRGTAATAAAATAATTGCTGATGTAATATTTTCCCTATAATTATTACAAAAACACAAAATAAGTAAAAATAGGTATTTATATTTGTGTATAAGCTGTTTAGATTGTCAAAAAGCCTGTCTTTTAGGGTTATTAACGAAGTTCATGTACTCACACCAATATTTGGGGTCACAAGTTTTTGTCATGAATATTTTGTGGGCCAGAAGACAAAAAGTTTGGGAACCACTGTAACCACATACTATAAACGGAATATTTTACTAGGTGTTCCACAAAATTATAGACACATCTTGCTTTTAACTCCTTCATTTTCACATTTAAATCATTCAGTTGGGGTCTATATAAAGTGGAACTGCAATGATTTGCTTTGAATTCCTCCTTACTGTAACTCCACAAGCCCTTCTTTCATCTGAGATGTCTCTCAGATCAACTCGTTTGAGGCTGTCTCTTTAAATCCTCCAGCTTCAAGAATGGTCCATTCTAGTTTGAGAGAGGGATTTATGACTATATAGCAGCGTAGAAAAGTTTTATTTACAAATGAATTATAAAAGATGTCAACAAGGGAAGACTTGTCCATCCAGCCTTACATGTTGGAGCCAGAGTCTGACCCAAAGCCAGAAGAGAATGAGGATGACCAAACTGTAATAGTTAAGTTCAGACCATATTTAGAAGTTCCATCACAAATTCTTCGACATAATAGTTCAGCAAAGGTCAGAGAAAACTCAACAGACTGAAAACTCGAACCAAACAGAAAATAAAGATATCTATGTAGCACTGGGAGAAAGTAAATTCAAATTTTCTGCACTCCTAGAGACTCCAAGTACGCAACAAAATGTACTTAACTGCAAAAAAAGTGGCTTTTAAATTATGTGTCCCCTTTTAACATTTCACAAACACAGCCTTGAGAAATAACTTCAAAATAAAACACGTTTAACTTTATATTTACAATAAGAAGACCTTGTTGAAATGCTTCTTAAAAGGATTAAAAGTTGAAGGAATTTCAGTGAGTTTTAGGATTTGTGCCCTGAATTCATCGAGCCCTTATAAAACAAAATCACAACTTTCACAAAAACCCCAAAATGTTTAGTAACTTTTGTTTTGTTTCTTCACTATGCCTTTACATTGTTTTAAAAGAACAGATGACAAAAGCAGGCAGAGGTTTGCAGAAAATATCCTTAAATTAGTGAAAAGAAAGTCCAAAAATGTACAACACTAAAGTCTTACTTCTAACAAAACTCTCAACAACCAAGCTCCATCTTATTTCAAATATCTTATTGTTCCATACTATCCTAACAGAGCACTTCGCTCTCAGACTGCAGGTTTACTTGTGGTTCCTCCAGTTTCTAAAAGTAGAATGGGAGGCAGAGCTTTCAGTTATCAAGCTCCTCTYTTKWGGAACCAACTTCCAGTTTCTGTCCGTGARGCTGACACTCTGTCTACTTTAAAGATTAGACTGAAGACTTTCCTTTTTGATAAATCCTATAGTTAGACTTAGGTTTCCTGAGTTATTCCTTAGCTATTATAGTTAATTAGTTATGCTGATATAGGCTTAGACTGTTGGTGGACAAACTGACCACATTTCCTCACTCTGCTATTATCTTTAGTCACTCTCCTCTRTTATTATTACTTCTATCAATAACGTGTTTTCTTTGTCTCTCTTCCAGAAGTTGGTGCACCTGGACCAGTCCTGGACCAGTTCTTCTGTGTTTGTCTGTGTCTCTTTCCTGACCCTCAACCAGTCGGTCGAGGCAGATGGCCGCCCGTCCTGAGCCTGGTTCTGCTGGAGGTTTCTTCCTGTTAAATGGGAGTTTTTCCTCTGCACTGCTGCCTGTGTGCTGCTCAGGATGGCAGATTGTGACGAAGCAAAGATTCTGCGCAGTCGGCTGACTTCTTTAGATTTCTTTTTTTTTTTTTGTTTTTTTTTTTTTGTGGACAGTGCCCTGAGACAACAGTTGTTGTGACTTGGTGCTATATAAATAAACCAAATTGAACTGAATTGAATTGAAGTCAAAACTTTGTAAAAATGTAAAATGAACAAGTAAAGTCAGGCTCACAATGATTAAGAGAGT